AGCGCAATATCCCACTCGCTGCTTAGCCTACTGGGCTCAGTTTATGTATAGCTCTCTTATCTCAGTTATGAACTTCCAGTAACAAAACCACATCAGGCCTCAACCCCTCGCGCTCTCATGCGCGCCATTGCATCATTATTGGATTAACCTTCGACCACCTCGACCCTCATCTCCCCTCGGCGCGTTTACCCTCTCAGTGTGATCCCTCTGTGCCATAACCCTATAACTACAGGGAGGGAGACCTCGCTCTGCGTTCCTTGGTTTTGTTATCTATGTTATTTATTAAATGAGACACTCTCTGCTACATGGATAATGAGACACTCTCTGCTGCATGGAGAAAGAGTACTCTCTGCTACATGGATAATGAGACACTCTCTGCTACATGGATAATGAGATACTTGCTGCTACATGAATAATGAGACACTTTCTGCTCAATGTATGATGAGACACTCTCTGCTACATGGATGATGAGACACTCTCTGCTCCATGGATAATGAGACACTTGCTGCTCCATGAATAATGAGACACTTTCTGCTCAATGCATGATGATACACTCTCTGCTCCATGGATAATGAGACACTTGCTGCTCCATGAATAATGAGACACTCTCTGTTACATGGATGATGAGACACTCTCTACGCCATGGATAATGAGACACTCTCTGCATGGATATTGAGACACTCTCTGCCCCATGGATAATTTTCTGTTACCGATTACCTGCTTAATGAGTGAACATGAAGAGAATAATTGGATTCCATCAGCGTTTATTTAGGGATCATAGAACAAAATTCTAAGGATTTTCCAACTATTATATCAGTGATTTAGAAAGAACTAAAATGTACCAAAAGAGATGCTATTTATTAAATGCGAATATCGAGTGTTCTGACAACATAATTTACAATATCTTTCGTTGCTGTCGCATGAAAAATACGTTGATATGCAAATTCATGCCATTGAATTGTTTTGATATGTTCAATAGGTGTGTCATTGTAGAGTAATTGTCATGGATTACTTCCAACACCTTCCGACGGGCTCACTCAAAGAAATGAGTGTGTCATTTTCTAAATGGTGATGCACTTTATCTCACTTTGTAGGTACAATTTATCTCATCTCACTTCTATGTAATTTATCTCACTTTTGTAGCTGGCAGTATGTCATTATATGGACAAGATCAACCAATCATTTTTCTTAGTGATGATGGAGCCCTTTCTGATACAGCCTCCCCGAAATCATTTTCATTCTAATCATTTATTCAACGGCAATCTAGCGAAATGCCAAACTTCGCGGATCAATACAGCAGATTGCCCGTTGGCCTTATGATCAAGGCACGTGGTAGGGGCTTACAGATGCGACTCCTCTGACGTGACCACAATGTCTGCTAACTGATTTATGGCTACAGAATATGATTAACATGAATGAGGTTTGATCGTAATTAAAATTAACTTAGTATATGTTAATAATATACGCCCAAACATGAATCTAAATACTTTGGGATTGAATGTATTAGCAGGGGTCAATTTGATTTACAATAGGTGAACGGTGATTGGTAAACCCTAAAATGGTTGGTACTATGGAATTTACTTGTGGTATGAAACTACTTTTACAAATTTTCTATTTCAAAATGAAACGAAAATTCAATAATTGAGAGTGCATATTAAAGTGCTCTTTTTTGAACATATAATGTTAGCCTGAAACAGAACGTTAATGGAGCTACAATTCTGTTATACGGGTAAGTCGGTAGCTGAATTTTTGAAGAGAGAATTTTAATGTTTACAGGAAAATATTTGGAATGATGATCACTTATTTATTTTCCAATCGCTTTGATTAAAAACCGCTAGTTTACTTGCTAAGCGAATCTTACACTTTAACAGAGACTGAGACTCACTTTCTAACATAGACTGAGACCACACTCAAACAGAGACTTACACTTTAACAGAGACTTACACTTTAACAGAGACCGGCCAGCCAGATGTGGGTAGGCATATACACGCCTCATTTGTTTACAAAACTAAGGAAAACAATTTCTTATGCGATGAACTCACGGTAAATCCGAACGATTGACCATGACCAAGTCTTGCAGTAGTTCTACATTCAATCTGCTATGTAAGTAACCAACTAACATATACAGCGTGCATTGTAAAACCTAGTGTTCATGACCGAAAAAAGTATTCAGCAGTGCATAAAAAAGTATTCACAATGCAATATGCAGCCTTTTGGATGGTTTGAGAAAAATTAAAGGACCTTTTATATTGACCTTCGAAAGCTTTTATATTTTTCATGATTAATGCTCAATTGCTATGAATGAATATAAGCTGAGAGCAAACACACTCTGCCAGTTTTCGTCTTCAGTGCGCTAAATTTGGAAAAGTGCATCAGGCGTAGCTGTAGTAGATGTAGCCGCAGCAGAAGCAGCTGGTGCAGATGCAGCTGTAGCAGATGTAGCCGTATAGTAGCTGTAGCTGTAGCAAATGTAGCCGTAGAAGGTTCAGCTGTAGTAGATGTAGTCGTAGCAGGTTCAGCTGTAGCAGATGAGGCTGTAAAAGATGCTGCCGTGGTAGATGCAACAGGTACAAATGCAGCTGTTTCAGATGCAGCTGCAGCAGCTGTAGTTGTTCTACCTAAAGACGTGAGTGGGGAACTTGTCCTGCATTGCCCCATGGGGCTTCGATCGCAGGTCTGGGCTGATGATTTCCCACGAGAGTCGTCTTAGCCTCATGGGGTGAGACGCTCCAGACGCCGCTTCTCCAGAGCTTCCAAGATTTAGTTACTTATGTAAGTTACACTGTATTCATGTTATAGCGGCTATTTACAATATTGTTTTTAACTCATTTTACCGCAAAGTTGCGTGTAGGATATAATGTTTATGAAACGATTTTTTGCTGCATATGTTGGGTCTGGATCTGGGTTATTCTAGCATTGTGACCCATAGGCTTTGCGGTACGTGGGATGACTCATAAATTCGGATTAATTTTCAGTGATTGTAAAATCAATAGATTACGAATTAAATAATAATGGATGCAAACTTATGAATGAATCAGCAAATAGAAGTCAGCCTAGTTAGTTAGCCTTTTCCGAGGCTTATTGTGAAAGCTCAAGCAATTTTTCATTGCCTCAAAAAGGCAAGAACGAATCAAAAAGCTTTAATTGGATGGACCGATGCATTCCTAGGCAAAGGTCTTCGCTTGTCTTTCTTGAAATTCTTCAAAAAATTCAGTCACACCATGACATGAAAAATATTTGAAAAATTAAATTTATGAAAAGTCATACATTTTTAGAAGTTGTTATTGTTCAGGAAGTAACATAGATCGCGAATTGCTCCTGTAATAAATGCAAGTGAAGATTACAATATTCAGTACTATGCTGTCAATATTTCCGGTTCTATTAATCATTTATGAACTAACATAATAAGATTCTCAGCTCTGATATTCTCTATTCATCATTTATTCATTTTATGAGCATCTTAAAAATTAACTGCAATGTTAGGTCAGGTACTTAAACTTGTCAGCACGAATTTAATAATTATATTATAATATTAACAGCAATTTTGCCAATTTACTTGATGTCTCGGGTGTGTGTCGTGACAACATCAATCTGTTAATAATTAAACGTCATGCCTTGGCATGGCATAGCTGCTTGGGTCATCTGTTATTATTTAGTTTCTTTATTGTGACGATAAAAAGCATTTAAATGTCACCGTAGTCACCTCGTCATCAATAATTGTGAATGGCGCTATATTCATGCAAGTTTCTGCCGTGTGTATCTGGAATATCTGGCATTGGCATTAACAAAGATGTTTTAAATTTGCGCAATTCAAAGTTCCATTGACAGACTAAATAATAAATTGCTTGTTGTGGCATTTCATCAGCGGTCGAAGAATCGGTCCATTAAATGTCGCAAGATTCCAAAACTGAAATGAACGGTTCTATATACTTCTCTAAGTCTTTCATCGAGTTTCATGAGGCCGAAAATCAATATGCTTATTTGTATTTACCAACCACAGATAAAGCTGCAAATTTAGAGAGAATAGATCATCATGGAATATTTTAGTTTGATTAGGATTTGAGTGCAGTCGAAATATAGGTAGTTATCGGCTTTTGCAATCTCCCATTGCAATTCTAATTACTAAAAAATTCTACTAAAAACGTTTATATCGATCAAATATACCAGCTTTTCGCCCATGTTGCAGCTTCGACAAATCTGAATAGCTGACACGAATAAGTGATGTTTTTTAATTTCTTGAATTTTTGTCCTAAAGTGAATCCACGCGAACGTATTAACTTTTCTGTTTATTCGTCCTAATTTGCCTACTTAACAATTATTATTGATTGTCACTAGGAAATTCGACTCGTAGGATCGACAGTCTTCAATAAAAAAATTTTCTGTTTTTTACCTAAATCGCATTAAATTTAATGATTGAAGCGTCATACGCTATAAAAATAAAACAATATCTACGTTTTCAATCGCCGGATTGTAACTTCTATAAATATAAATATTATACGTTTCTATATGTGTCCTAGATGCAAACTCAGCCTATGCTACTGTAACGTATATATTATACTGCAACGTACATTATTGAGACGTACGTTGTAAAATAAGTGACGTATTCCAACGTCTAGACATCACGGCATTGATTAACCCTCTACATCTGGACGTCTCTCCATTATACGGCACCGTGAACATCTGTTCGCATTGTAGCGCGTATCACAAATGTCGTACACGACAATGTCTCCCAACAAACGACCAGGGAACGTGAAGAGGGAAATGTTCTCGTAAAATTTTCAAATAATCAACCTTTTCTATACCAAGAAAGTTTCTTTTTAAATCTTTTCTGGCTATAACTTATACCAAGAAAAGAAGTTTCTTTTCAGCACGTGATGCATGTACTATAGGATGGGGAAGTTATTGTTAGTTTAAAATATTTTTGTGCTTAAAGGTATTTGTTCTTAAAGGTATTTAAGACTCAACAAGTGTATCAGCTCTGGAGATCGGTTAAGTTCCATAACCGTGCAGTGAGGCTGAGAAGCAGGTTGTCAGGTTGCTCTAAAATGAGAAATTTTGTGATTTTGTATTTTATTTCCATAAGTGTGAGGAACTCGTTTAGCGATGGTAAGTGTGAAAATAATAAGTAGTCAAAATTTATGTTATTTATATCAAGTATTATAACAATGAATTCTTTATTTCTCTCTTTAATTTCATTTATTCTTGTTCTCTCTCTCTCTAGACATTCACCTCATCGCAAAAGCATAATAATTTCTTCGTACTTTAAAGTTTAGTTTTTCTAACATTTTTGTTAAAAGCGCAATAAAATTTTCCCTGCTGTTTTCCGTTCATCTTATTAAAATAATTTTAAAATGCTGCTCTATACGACGCGGTATACAAGTTTTAAAACGCTCACCGATGCATTTAATGCTTCAAACGACAGATACAGATAGCAACGTTCGTGTGTATGAATTACCTTCGTACGGTTTCTTAATAACCAGTATGAAACGTAAAAGAAACTGAATTGTATCTGTATGAAACTTAAAGGGATTTGAGCGTTTCTATATCACTAAACTACCCCCCAAACTATTGCCGAGGATGAAAACTCAATATTCTCATCCATGAGTTCAATTAATATTTCTTCATATTCATGGTTTGTAGAGAATTGTTATAAATTGGAATATCAAGCACCGATTAATAGATTTCAAAATATCTTAGAGACCTCGCGTGGATCTTGAGACGTGAATGGATATCAGACGCTGCGTTTGATTGATGCTCTAGACGGAAGAAATGAAAATTGATCACTCTTCTCTTGACGGAAGATATTTAAAATTGATCACTCAACCCTTGACGGAAGGAACTAAAATTGATCACTCATCCCTTGACGGAAGAAAATAAAATTGATCACTCATCCCATGACGGAAGAAACTAAAATTGATCACTCATCCCTTGACGGAAGAAAATAAAATTGATCACTCATCCCATGACGGAAGAAACTAAAATTGATCACTCATCCCTTGACGGAAGAAAATAAAATTGATCACTCATCCCATGACGGAAGAAACTAAAATTGATCATTCATCCCTTGACGGAAGAAACTAAAATTGATCACTTATCCCTTGACGGAAGAAAATAAAATTGATCACTTATCCCTTGACGGAAGAAAATAAAATTGATCACTCATCCCTTGACGGAAGAAATTAAAATTGATCACTCATCTCTTGACGGAAGAAACTAAAATTGATCACTCATCCCTTGACGGAAGAAACTGAAATTGATCACTCATCCCTTGACGGAAGAAACTAAAATTGATCACTCATCCCTTGACGGAAGAAATGAAAATTCTTCCATCTGCGATTGCGAAAATTTCCAAATGAAACTGCGATTGGTCACTCATCTCTCTCATCTCTTGACTAAAGGAACTAAAATTGATCAATAATCCCTAGATGGAAGAAATTTAAATTAATCACAGACCCACCCACAATATTCCAGAGGCCTTATTTCGCTCCTGTCATCAGAATCTTAGTGCATGAATTTATTGAATTATTTATTCGGAAATAATTTTGAGAAAGTTCGTCAGAAGTCAATTAAACATTGATTACAGAACAGTTGCTAGGTACAATAAATCACAATTAGCGGGTTTTTTGATTTATATATAGTTCGACAAACCAATCAATCATGCCTCCTATGAAATTAGGATTAATAAAAAAGTTAATTAAAGCTTATTTTACATGATTTTATTGAGAATTTATTGCAAAGGCCCTGCTGACTGCCTTCCTTATACCCCATTGCCTCGCCCCAGCTGGCACAGTTTTGATTAGATTGCACGAATGTTCTATGCCTACCTAGTTTTATTTTATTGATATTCTGAAACTCACTAGGTTTTATTTTATTGATAAACGGAAACCCCTTCGGCTTTATCATATGGACATTTGAACATCCGCTCGATCTTAATATAATGTAATGTTTTGAACCTACCTAATTTCTAATGCTGTTTAAATCACTTACTTCAGGCATGACCAACAGATGATCCGTATTGTTTTCAGTTACATTAATTAATAAATCTATTAAATATGTCCACAAATTTCTGGTATTCTTAAATTCTCGGCTAACGTGAACGCAGCTTAAGAGCCCCTGGCCTGACTAAGCCATGACTCACCTACCCCCCAGAGTGCGGGGGAGAGATGGGGGTCAAATCAGGCGAGTGGGGGAGCGTGACGTCACCAGGCTATCCCCATCACTACTCTCCTAATATCACCTGCACGTGGATTCTGCGCGTTAGTTCTGAACATTTTTAATGTTAAAATATATTTTAAATTTTTCAAATGAGTGAAACATCTAAAACAATAATAATAATTTAAAATAAGTTAACTTTTATACGCTTACCGAGATTTTCCAATGAGTGTAGACTTAATGAAAACATTTCACTTTCCAGAGAATATATTTCGAAATCTGAAATGGATTGAGAAATATTAATTGACAGAAATGCATTTAACGAAACGGAGGAAGGTCATACGATTAGTAAAGATTATTTCAGTGAAGTTAGATATTTGCCTTTTTAATCATTCAAATTATATATTATTTTAAAACTAGGGTTATGAAACAAGAGATAGTGTAATATTCGGTCTGGAATCCGTAGACTTCATTCAACCTGGAACCTCCTACACGCAAGTATATTCAATATTATTGTTGTAACGACTGCAGAACACCAGTACACGTCATGCTTTTGAGTTTAGCGTATTTTCTAATATATTACGGATTTAGTTGGGCAAGGTCCTTATAAGGAATTAAGGGTCGTAAAGTCAATGTGAGCTTCATTGGTTTGAATTTTTTAAGCGACTTGGAGGAATACCTTTCGGACACTTTTATATTGGGATTTCTACGAATTGTGGACCGTATGACTGTATAACTCGATAACGAAGGCGAAATTCAAAAGAATAATCACGACCCAAACATCACCGTCAGGTCATATTGAACACGTGTGCGAAGTTTCATTGAGCTGCGTTCATTTATATGGGGCGATATTTTAGGCTCAATGAAATTTGGAGACCGGCCGCGAGTCCGACCGTAGAAGGGTCCGAGAGGTACTCGGAACACGAAACTGGATCGTCTCTACTTTGACCCGGATTCTTCAGGAGTAATTGACTCATCCTACGTGTTTTGTTGCTGACACCAGACAATCTATTATTATCAAGACGAACTTCATGTTGGAAGTAAAATTTTTTTAAGTTTTCATCAAAAATGAAAAAAATATTCTTCTTATTTACTGGCAATTACTGCTATAGTTTTCAATGCATGAAGCATAAACGGCAAATTTTGCAATTTTGATGGCCAGTAAACTAAGACAATCATTCAATCGAGAGTCTACAAATTGAATAATCATTTGATGGTTATCTTATCTAGGCTCCTGTTGGCGAACACATCGAACTCCATTTCGTTGACTTTGACATAACGGGTTCAGACGAGTGCTCTATGGACCACATCAGTATCTCCTCTAATCCTCTCGGCATCGGAGAAAACTTTGCTGATGTAGAAAACGTATTTCAAGGGGAACCCCGTTATTGCGGCTCCCGGGCACCGCCGTTTATACGGTCAAACAGTAATGTGTTGGCGCTGAAGTTCGTGTCGAATGCTGACGGAACTTGCCGAGGCTTTAACGCAAGTTTCACGTCGAGCCAAGGTCAGTGATCGCTGATCGGTTCTAGTATCTTATACACAATTTGGCCAACTAATTTATCTATGGATTTAATTTCTTTTGTATATCTCATTAAGTCCATTAAAGTGATTAAACAATGTATGTTTCTAGTTCTTAAGTTTTATAAGCTTTTAGTGAAAAATAAATCTTCAAATTTTTTGCATATATAAATTTTTTCTGGGGTCATTACTGCTCAAATTAATCCTTTTCTGCAGAGAAAATTTATTCAATTTAAGGTTACAAACGAGATATGAACCACATCTGCAATAAAGTTTGAGCTATTTAACCGAGCAGCACTTCCAGACTATATTTAAGTCTGAAGTCTTTCCAGAGATTATCAAAAACCGTTTCTAAATCATATTGTCTTACAGATAAATTTTCAAATTAAGGCCCTTTTAAACAGGCATTTTTATGCACAATATGCACTAACATTTTTAATATGTTATACAGGGCACTTTCAATTAAATTTCTTCCATTAGTTTTATTTTGTTACCTCCATAGAACGGCAAATGACTTTTGCTTCTGGTATATTAGTTTACGTGGGCATCGTGATATTCAGTCAAGCTTCAGGGCTTAATCCTAAGCTAATAAATTAACTTCAAAATTAATTAATCTTATTTTATTCTCCGTAACAATATTAGAACGATCAATAAATATAAAAGGTTCTATCATTCTGGGATGGGTACATTGATTTGTAGTGATAATCGAAATAAAATATAATCAAATATTTCTTTTCTGTGATCAGAGCTCGTGAGTTGCGGGGACAAAACTTTGGCCAGGGAATTTGTGTTCAGTTCGCCCGGCTACCCTGCCTCTCTGGCCGAATCATCTCTGGCCTGCTCGCTTACTGTGGAGCACGGCTGCGACGAGCCCGTCTGTCAGATCAGGTCGGTCAGGGTAGACCGATAGAACTAAGATCAGGTCGGTTAGGGTAGACCGGTAGAGCTGAGATCAGGTCGATCAGGGGAGACCGGTAGAGCTAAGATCAGGTCGGTCGGGGTAGACAGGTAGAGCTAAGATCAGGTCGGTCAGGGTAGACCGGTTGAGCTAAGATCGGGTCGGTCAGGGTAGACCGGTAGAACTAAGATTAAGTCGGTCAGGGTAGACCGGTAGAACTAAGATTAGGTCGGTCAGGGTAGACCGGTAGAACTGCCGTCAATGACGATAACGTCGCCACGTCACTTGAGTCGCTGGCATCTTATAGAAACGGTCTATTTTATGAACAAAAATAAAGCAAATCTTTCTAACGCGATCAAAACAGCTTTGTAGTCTTCATGTGGTTTCCGAAGCATACACAAATCGTAGTTCTGATCAGTAAGTACGAGTATTATACGGTTTTTAGTGACGAGCGGCGATGTAAGTGCTGAGTGGTAACTTATGTTTCGTTGACGGAAGTGCATTATAGCATGGGCCGTTATTTCATAAATAGTTAAAAGTTCGCACCTCCGACAGCCAATCACTGACTGCTTTTCAAGCTGAACCCACCGATCGCTGACGGGAAATGGGCCGCTACGTGTACTTATGTGGGTCTTGAAAGTTCCGAGTCAGTCTTTCTTGAATCAGTCTTTTAATTTACGTAATTGACATGGAGTCATAGCACAGATAGTGGCAAGCTGCAGCAGTTAGACGACTGTCAGTGGAGAATGTAATTTTTTACGTAATTTCTCTGATTATAAATTCGAATTTTATCAAACTTTTCTGGCAACGCAAACGTAATGGTGGTGATGGAAATTGGCAATGCATACATAACTAACGACGATACTCAATATTTTGACTATATAGTCATGAAGGTTTTTTTTATTCTGCTTCAGGCTTGATTTCGACGACTTCGAAATTCAGCCTCCGTTTTGGGGAGACTGCAAGCACGATCGGTTCTACACATCGAGTGTTTATCCTGTGCCAACCCTGTGTGGAAACAATACGGGGTCTCACAGTGGGTGCAACGGCTGCTGAAAGCCTCCAATAACAATAATAATAATAATAATCAATTTCAAATAATACAGTTATACTAAATACTGAAAGAGGAGAGCACATCTAACGAATCGCGGCTTTAATCACTAACTCCTTTCAAGTATTTGGGGATTGCATCTGTGACTCCTTTCAAACGTGCATGGATTGTATCTTTGATTACATACGAGTAATGTTTGCAAGTATATCAAGGGTAGAAGATTTGTGAAAAACACAGTAAAATTGAAATAGACCTAACACAATATTTTATACTGAATTTCAGTCTAAGTTTAAAATTTAAATTGGGTGCAGCTTGATGCATTAGGAATATTGTCCGTTTCAGTTAGCAATGTTTTTAAAGAATTAATATTTGTTAGTTATTTCTTCACTAATATCAAGGTTGTAATTTTAATCTAGTTTTCGCTTCAAATGAAGACCGAATAAAACATTTTGGTCCATTTTAGTTTATCTGAACGTGGAGGGTGTACGTGAGACGACATTGACGTTCATGCTACGGGAGCTCGAACATCACTTCTACAAATGTCACGATCTGAACGAACTCTCCACGGTGGACCAACACGCGCATGTGAACGGCTCCAGCTACACGCTACCTCCGCAGAGATATAACCGTCGTTTGAAGAGAGAAAAAATATCTCGGGATCAAGTAAAAGTAATGTATGCTTTGAGTTTACTTATTATATTATATTTCACTGGGGAAACTAGCGTATTTATATATTAGATTTTAATGGGCAATATAATCGACGGGGCTGGCAAAAAGCATCGTAATTACATTTAATTAAGCCTATTGCTAATCCGAACTGAGAGTGATTGGAATGTTCGGATATTTGATTATATTGTCTGGGGCTGAAATACTGCTAGGCTTCGTGCTTATCGGATCCACAAAAATGTAATTACGTTTCATTTGAATAACGTTAAAGTTTATAATTCATCTTAAGAACGTTGAAGCAAACGTTTCATCTAATTAAGGTTAAAGGTAACGTTTCTTTCGATATTTTTTTCGAGAACTCAAATAAGTCTAAACGCATGCAAATCCATCAAAGTAAGATTGTTCCCGTGATATACATTATACATCATATAGCAAGGTTCTTTTTCCTTGCAACACAAATCTTCTAATTCTTTACAGTTTGCAAGCCAAAGCAATTCTTATGCTTTTTAAGGCATTCTATTTTGGTTGCAAGCAGATGCATTTTCTAACCACATTTACACCTTTTTATGACATTTATGAATTACATCGGGGAGAATTAATCTAGTTCTACTACTAAAAATTATCGTAGTATAACATTATACTCATCATCATAATACTAGACATTAAGCACGATACAGAAGACAAATTATTCTTATAAAGCAATCAAATTTCCCGATAAAAAAATTGTTTCAGATAGATTTATGTGCGTATATTATCCCTTCACTTTACCTTTAATTCGTGCACCGAACTTTGCGAAATTTTTTATTTAAATATCATAACGAGACAATAGATTATGTTTCTTTATATACTCCATTTAATTTTCCTAATTTATATAAATATATCAAATATTTTACAGGGACAGACTAATAACAGTGAGCGCCAGGATAGCGTCACCACAACGGCTCCACCACACCCACGCGACGTAACAGTTGCTCTCTACAGCTACCAGTGAGTAAGGTGTGCACGAATGGGTCATGTTACTTGTTCAAATATTGACACACTTTCTCACCCACAGCTAGAGTGGGTAGTCGACGTAGCACTGATAACTTTCTTACCAACAGCTCGAGTGGGTAGCATAGGCCTGCTACCTTTCTTACTCACAGCAAGAGTGGGTAGCACTGCTATCCACTGCTACCTTTCTTACCAACAGCTTGCGCGGGTAGCAGATACGCCTCCCTTTGATATCGCCATTTTAGCCCTGATACGCCTCCCTTTTGCCGGACCACACTGGGTGGTTCGAACCCACACAATGGCGAAAAATGCATCGCAATTTGGACAAAGTCCTACTATATGTCTGAGCGTAGCGAAACGTTCATCGCTAATTGGACAAAGTCCTACAAATTTTCCTGTGTGTAATTACGACAGGGGTGGATAGGATAAGGCCGAACAAACAATTTGAAGTAAAGGTTTGCCCTGGTTTATAAACTTGTTGGAAACATTACAGGTTGACTGGCTACTTCAAGGCTATATCTGCTCTACATTGACATATGATTCCTTTATTGCTATGAATAAGAAAAATGGGACATCGGACGAAACATAAACTTTGTGAACTATTTTTAAATAAGTATTAAGAAGATTTTCGTGTAATATAATGTAAAAGTATGCTATTAAGCAATAAACAGCATAATTCGGTCGATATGAACAAAAATAATTTACTTCGGAATAGATATCAATCAGTCAAAATAAATTCCATTCATAATATTGGTATATCATTACCAGTAAACTATTTTATGTAGTTTATACAATTATAAGTGATTAGACATCTATTCCTACTTGAGTGCCAGTACTTAAGTAGATGACTAATACCAGTACTCAAGTTATTGATCTCGTACCACGATCAACAGCTCACCATCTCATTATTTATTAAGACTAAAGTTAAAAGAAAAGCTGCTATATTTAGCGACGTTGTACTTAGGAACCGACGAGGATTTCCGATTTGGCAGCGAAAACAAAGACGTCATCCGGCGACGTCACGTCCGCAGACTTGCTTGGCGTCATCATAGAAGAATGCCAATACCTTAACTCCTAAATTCTTTGCATTTAATCTCTTCTTATCTGACTAAAAACTTAAATTCAAGTAGCATTTACATAAGTTCAAGTTTGCTTAAATTACCTGAATGGTTAAACATTTAATCTATTCCTATCTGATTTACAAATTAAATTCAAGTAGCATTTACATAAGTTAAAGTATCATTTAATACAGTAACGACACAGTACTTCTTATCTGATTAAAAAATTAAATTCAAGTAGAATTTACATAAATTCAAAAATCATAAAAATTATCACCTTTTTCGAAAATTATCACCTTTTTCGACACAGTACTTCTAATCTGATTAAAAAATTAAATTTAAGTAGCATTTACATAAGTTTAAGTATCATGAAAATTATCACCTTTTTCTACACAGTACTTCTTATCTGAGTAAAAAATTAAATTCAAGTAGCATTTACATAAGTTCACGTTTCATGAAAATTATGACATTTTTCGGCTCAGTAGCCTACTTCTTATCTGATTAAAAAATTAAATTCCTTTAGCATTTACATAAGTTGAAGTATCATGAAAATTATCACCCTTTTCGATGCAGTACTTCTTATCTGATTGAAAAATTTCATTCACGTAGCATTTACATAAGTTCAAGTATCATGAAAATTATCATCTTTTTCGGCAAAGAAAACAAATAATTTTTTATTCTACATATTTTGCTCAATGGATCTAACTTTGAGTAAAAGTATGATAATTCTAGAGCAAGAATTTGAGCTCCATTTCAGCTTCAAAAGGTATATCGGTTTAAAGGTTGAATAAGTTATGTCAGCACAGCTGATGAAATTCAGTTTCTTGACTCACGGAAGATCATGAAATCAGATATGTACGAAAAGGTTTTAAATATAATTTTTTTCAACGGTACATTTATGTCAAGACAATTACTTCACCAATTGAAGTTTATTGTCATATATTCTTCATAAAATTAACGAAAATTATTGCTTTATTGCATCGACCAAATATTTCATGTCAATATTGATTTATTTACAAAGTAAGACTGAATTTTCCAATTTTATTTTATATTAGCTTTTATTAAGCATTCATTATTAAATACATTTCGGTCATAAACTTTAAAGATAGACTTCTATACTTTAACAAAGTTGTACCAAAAAATTTTTGTAAGCTTTCTTCAGTTTTGACCGAGACTCTTTCACTTGCGCTCGACTCGTTGAGGTATCAATTAAATTTTGGTTATGTGCTTGATGATCGGAACTTGATCAATTTATATTATTTATCTGTTTAATTGCATTCGTCTATAATTTATCTGATTTAATTGCATACGATATTATCTGATTAATTGCATTCGTCTTTCTTTTGAGAATGAAAGGTAGTTTTTTTGACAAATATTTTGGTAAATATTCACTCTAAATGAACTTATCACACCAGAGAAAATGACCCGGTGCAGTTCAGCGAGCGTCGCGCGTGGCGCATGAGAGTGACGCAACTGCCGTGCAAGTGCGCGGACAACCGCGTGCCTAGAGGTGCGTGAGCTTGATTAGTACTCACTATTTTAAGCATTAATTAATCCACATAGATCTATACATATATATTTTTATGTATAGATCTATACATGTATATTCTGTACGTATAGATCTATACATATATATTCTGTATGTATAGTTCTATACAGACATATTCTGTATGTATAGATCTATACACATATATTCTGTATGTATAGATCTATACATATATATTCTGTATGTATAGATCTATAGATATATATTCTGTAAGTATAGATCTATACATGTATATTCTGTATGTATAGATCTATACCTATATATTCTGTATGTATAAATCTATACATGTATAATTAACAATAGAAGAAAAATATTACGTCTATTAAGAGGAAACAAATTTTTGATAAGTAATTTCGCAGTTTGTGAATTAATTACCAGCTTGAGTAAATTTTTTTATTCATAAGTTATCGGTAGTATTAAACGTATCATGGCTCTAACCTATCCCTGGAAACAAGCAAAACTATTATATAATATAAACAAATAAAACGTAAACTATATAATTAAACTATATATTAATATAGTTTAATATATGAAACTATATATTAATATATCGCTTCATTAATATATAATTTCATATATTATATGAAACTATGTATTAATATAGTTAATTACAGCATCCTACATCATAAATGTTGCTTCTATCACTCATGCCTCTTTCCCTCAGCTCCCGACGGTTGCCTTCAATATTTTCAAGGCGTAAGCGGAAGTGTGAAAAGCTTTAATTTCGATGGCCGAGGTTGCTTTACTGAAGACCGCTGGTGTGACTTCAGTAAAATGAAAGACCAATCGGATTGTGACATTCGCGTGGGCTACACAGGTAAGACAATTTTGTAGGAAATCTTTTTATAGTAAGATAAAAGCTGCACTGAGATTTATAACTAAATTTTGTAAAGCTTAAACTTTGTAATCATCACCATCGGGGAACTAAAAATACTGATTTATAAATAACCTGGCTAAGCTATTTTTGAATAATTGAATCAATAATAATCAATAATCCATAAATAATAAATCAATAATAAATAGAATAATAAATTAATCAATTCAATCAATTAAATAAATTGAATCAATTGAATCAATTGCATAAATTGAATCAATTAAATAAATTGAATCAATTGAATCAATTGCATAAATTGAATCAATTGAATAAATTGAATCAATTGAATAAATTGGATCAATTCAATAAATCGAATCAATTGAATAAATTGAAACTATTGAATAAATTTAATCAATTGAATCTATTGAATAAATTGAATCTATTGAATAAATTAAATCAATTGAATACAATGATTAAATCAATAAATTAAATCAATTGAATAAATTAAATCAATCAATCAATTGAATAAATTGAATCAATTGAATCAATTAAATAAATTCAATCAATGGAATAAATTGAGTTATTGAATCAATTGAATAAATTGAATCAATAATAGATTCATTAATAATGAAAATCAAGCCCATAATTTTAACTTCACCTCGCAGGTCACCTCAACAACCTGGACTACGCTACATGCATCGCCCCCGAGCCTGGCTTCTGCGGTGTGCAGTACAGGCAGGTAAGAGGCGAGGCATTCACAAAATTGTGTTGGTTATATTGTCAAAATAGTGACCCAATTCTTACAGCACGAACAAAGAACGGACGTAGTAGTTATATACGTTCTTTTGCAAGGTTAAAGAGTCAGTATTACCTACATATATGAGTAGAATGTTTATCAGTATTCTTAATAAATTTTATAGCTCATTTCTTTCAACGATGAAATGATATTTCTGCAAATCTTGAGTGGATTTCACAGTAAACAATTGCTTATTATTTGTAAAATGCTTCACTAACGTTTCGAAGCATCCTGATCCATATAACATGATACATATTTACGTGCATTAATATGCACGATTTTTGCATTAATGTGCACGTGCATTAATATGAAACATTTTTGTCAGTATACATGATGAACAAAATAATCTTTTTCGCTCTTGAAAAATAGTCAGAGCATGGAATTAAAACTTACGAGATTTATGTATGACAGCATTTACGAAATGATTTTTTCATCATGCTAATTTTTTATGTGATTATACAGGAAGGAGAGAACGGATTCTCCATGACGACTGTGGGAGATATAGCAGTGGCCGAGAACTCTTCCCAGCCTTTGGTGAGGAATGCGTGAACCTCTCCTTCAATAATATGCAATTTAAAAATTACTTTTCAAAGACATCACTTCTAAAGAATCCATTGTCTTCGATGTTACACATGTACTATGAATTTCTAATTTTATTTTTATGTATTAAAAAATAATAATTTTGAATTTTTTATTATAAAAAAAGTAATTGTTCAAAATAATTTATTCTGTCAATTGATTCATGCATTGTTTTCGACTTTACGCAAGGAGGCAAAATTTCAGATCGATTTGACAGGTAGAAATGTGTTAAATGTCGATTATGAGATTTGTAGAAGACAAACAAAACAAGAATATTAATTAACAAGCAAAATTAATTATGCATCTGTTCATAATTTAATACATGAACATAAATTTTGCATAGACGTAAAATGTCGTGCGCCTTCCAATTTTTATACCTGATCGGTCGTGCTCGACTTAACCTTTCGCTTCAAGCTCGGAACAAACTTCATCTAATCCATTGTATTATATGGAAAATAATTGAGCTTACGCAGAATTTCAGCTGTAGAGCACAATTATAGCCTAGATAAAGACATGTAAAAGCGATAATAAGGTAGCTATCGGCATGCAAAAAAATAAAAAATCTATTCAACAATATATTCAAAAACAACATGTTATCAATAATTCTTATTTTAATCATATGTCTGCTTAAATCACAAATTAACCAATAATTTTTTATAATCAAAGCGAACCTTTTTGCTTTAAATTCTTGATAATTATCATGAGATTCATCGTCTTTTGATGATTCGTCGTGTTTTGATGCATCGTGTTTTGTTTCTTTTTTTTTTGAAATCAAAAACCTATTTAACCATTCGTTCAAAAACAACATAAAAGAAACAATTCTTACTTGATTCACATGCATCGTCCTAACAATGGTTAGGTGGGGGATATGGAATTTTAATGTGATTTTTCATTCGAAATCAAAAACCTATTCAACAATCCATTCAAAAACCACATAAAAGAAATAATTTTCAGTTGATTCACGTATTATTTTCACGTAAAATCCTGACGATATATATACACATGAGTAATTTCAATGTGGGGGATTAGCAATTTTAATGTATTTTGTTTTTCTTTCGAAATCAAAAACCTATTAAAATTCATTCAAAAACAACACAAAAGAAATAATTCTCACTTGATTCATGCGTATTGTCCTGGCAATGGTTAGGTTGGGAACGTGTAATTTTAATGTGTTTTGGTTTTCGAAATCAAAAATATATTCAACAATTATATAAAAAAAAACAACGTAAAATAATAATTTTCGTTTGATCCACTTCGAAATAAAAAACATATTAAACAATTCATTCAAAAAACAACATAAAATGAATAATTCTTACTTGATCCACGTGTGTCGTGAGGTGTGGACGAGTAATTTTAATGTGTTTTATCTTTCGAAATCAAAAACATATTCAACAATTAATTCAAACACCATATAAAAGAAATAATTCTCACTTATTTCACTTCGAAATCAAAAAATATTAAACAATTAATTCAAAAACCATATAAAAGAAATAATTCTCCCTTGATTCACGCGCATCGGGAGGTGCTGGACGAGTAATTCTAATGAGTTTTGGTTTTCGAAATCAAAAATACATTCAACAATTAATTAAAAACCATGAAATAATTCTCACTTGATTCACTTCAAAATAAAAAAACATATTAAACAAATAATTAAAAAGTATAACTCAGTACTCACTGCAGTGAGTGACAGAGAGTGCATTTTCTCGTCGACAAAAACTTGAGGTCACGGACGGACAGACGGACAGGCAAACGGACGGACGGACGGACATGGCGAGCACAATAGCGCCTTTTTTCCATAAATGAGAAAATGCGCTAAAACAATATAAAAGAAATAATTCTCACTTGGTCCACCCATATCATGAGGTGGGTGACGAAGACTGCCGCTCGGACTACGTGTGGGTGGGCGGGGTGGGGGCCAGGGAGGGGGGCCAGGTCACCCACGAGCGCTACTGTGGCACCCAACTCGGAGACCGGCCCACGCCAGGGCTGCTCGTGAGTGAGTGATTACAATAAATCATTTTTTTTTTATTTTTTACAATTTTAAAAATTATTGTAATATCATAATTAATTTTAAAATAAATTAAATAATTCAATTAATTGTAAAGTTTATTAAATAATTCAATTCGTTTTAAAAATGAATGATTTATTTCAAATATTTTCAGTATTAATTTAATTTTTGAAAAAAATATTATGATTAAAAATAGCTTGGGTAACAATCATTATCAAATTTTTAAACATACAGTAAATCGAGGGCTGAATTTTGTGAACTGAGGGCCAGATTTTGCATCGTGGTTCTATTATGTAAAATTTAAAATACTTTTATATACACCGGTAAAATATTATTAACCATATCTAAGGTACCGGAAAGCCGTTCATGTTCCGCAGGGCCATATTTTGCAACGTTGTTCTATTATGGATAATTTAAAATACTTTTATACATACCGATAAAATATGTTATTTATCATATATAAGGTACCGGAAAGCCGTTCATGTTCCGCACTGTCACGGACGCGGATGAGTTCAGCGCCACGGACGACTACATGAACCGCGGATACCACATCGCCTACACGCAGACTCCGTGTACTTGAGTTATGAACTTAGGGCGAAGTTACGTGCTCTTCGTGCGTGTTATGTGCGTGAAGAGATCGTAAGTTCATGCGTACGAAGTGCATGGAACTTTACGAACCCATGTCGCCTCATGCAACTGCTTGGACGTGAACAATAAATTCTCGATGATATAACTTATACCAAGCACCGTGTGCTCGATGATATAGTTTATACCAACACCGAGTGCTCGATGATATAGCTTATACCAAACACCGCGTGTTTACCGTGTGCTCGATGATATAGTTTATACCAACACCGTGTGCTCGATGATATAGCTTATACCAACACCGTGTGCTCGATGATATAGCTTATACCAAACACCGTGTGCTCGATGATTTTCTGTGCTCGATGATTCAAATGCTAAGAAATTTACGCTAAAATTTACCATATACATGTGGAAAAAAACGTTTCGGATTCCAACTCCATCGTCAGTTCAAAATCGTAGAACACAAGTATAATCAATTAGTAAACTTAAATTCACATTGCAGATCTTGAATTTTAAATATAAAATGCAACAAATCGACATGAAATAACAATGAGAAATCAGGCCTATCTATTTACAATTTCAAACGATAGCAACTGAAACGGCATTTAAACTAGGCTTCTGTTACAGGGATTCCGAGACTCGCAGATCAGAAACACCGGCTGTGGATGTTAAATTTCTAAAATCACTATCGGATACTGGGACGTTGTACTGCTTGAAATTTCAAATTAAAATGATTATAACTCTAATAAAGCGCGGCTATCGTATTTACTTTTTTTTCAATGGCTGTGCACTCTAAATTTGAGTATGCGTGAAATACCTTTACGTTAAATGAATTTTAACGAATTTCTTTTTTGAAATGAATTTTGTCGAATTTTTTTAAATTAATTTTAACAACAATAATTCTGAATTTTCCTGGTCTATACTCAAATTAGAAAATTTAGGTCTAAGATATGTATACTGAAGTTGTTCTTGAGGGTGAAACTAGGAAAGTTGTGGTAATGTCTAGGGTTCAGCTATAATTCAATTAGGCTTTACATTTATTTATAGCAAATCTAGTAAACCGATCTGCTAGAAATCATAAACGTAACTAAAAGAGTCGGAGAGGAGAGGAACTCTACTCGGCTTTATAAGACAAAGAAATATCACGAATAAATAAATATCGACAGGGATAAGACCAGAAGATGATAGTATTACAATAATCCATACAAACATTAATTGTAGGACACTAAACCAAGCTGCTCTCTTACCTGAGAACAGCGTATTTGCAGCCTAATAGTCGTTCAGTTAGCGTCGCTAGGACAAACGATACAAAGTGTTGTAACTTGACTGGCTAGGCCTTAGGCTTACATCAAGTGCTATTCCTTTTAGTAGTGCGGATAACAATCATACAAACGTTGTTCATTGTTCATTTCCTTACTTTGTCCCCGCATCTGAGACTATGCCAACGGAATGGAAAGTTTTATTCACTAAATACAATCTGAATTTTAATTTTCATGGTTTTTTGTTAAATAGTTTAAAAAATAAGCACGTTCTACCTGTGTGAATATACTCTCCCAGTCACGAAACAAGTTAGAAAAGTACAAAAATCTGTGACAGGCCATTTCAGGCCTATTCTTTAGGCCTATATATCATGTCTCTATTATAAGATATGATATTATGCGATCGTCCTTTATTTATAGCTTATATAGATCGTCCCCAGAGCACACTGTTGTGCAGGGCGCATCAGTTCCATCGGTATGAGGTCACGCAATTTGTATACTAGGCTGGCGGAGCATAAGGGAATGAGTCATAGAAAAGGAAACCTACTTGCTCATCCCCCTCGGCTAGCTGTACGTGTTCAACCAAATATGTATTCACAACCGGTTTTTCTGGCGTGCGAATTTTAGAATCCTTGCATATTTTCAAACAGAAGTCTTGTTGCCTTATCTGTTCCTATCCTTTAGAATTTTAAATAGATGGGCTTTTCTGCTCGTGGTTATTTCATGTTGATTTGTTTTCATTTTTAGATTTAGGTATTAATATCTGATATGTAAATTTTAGTTTACTAATTGATTGTAATTGCGTTCTAGGATTTTGAACTGACGATGGTGGTGGACTATAAGGAAGCATTTTCTTCTTTAAAGATAGTGTGAATTTTTGTGTAATTTTCCTTGATTAAACATTTTCGTGTTTCTATACTCGTATAGATAAAACAAAATAAGATTGTAAAATATGTTATATGACATATTAGAATCATATTACATCAAAAAGCCTCCCTGATTACATCGTTGTCGCTCCGAGTATAAACGCGTTCAAGAACAGACTAGATAAAGCTGTGAAGAAATATATGTTCAGACTTGAAATGCCTAGCACCATATTGAACCTTGAAATGCCTAGCACCATATATTGAAATGCCTAGCACCAAGTCTAGTAGCTATTTCAAACTATCGTCAGTTGGGAAAAGATCCAGTCAAAAGACTTGTTTTTAAATCTGCTTAGGACAAGTCACGAAAAGTATAAGAATTGGCGACAGGCCACATATGCATCAGGCCTATTCTTCAGCGTCGACATTACTATGATATGTTATGTTATGATAAATATACAGGTATTATTTTTAATTTATAGTACTCACTGTACTTGTTTATGTATTTAAATTAACACTAAGTGAATGGAAGAATAAGTATAAATTGATTGTTCAGAATTATGCCTCACTCTTCCTTGAAATGTGTATACGCGAGAATACCTCACACGGAAATAGTGAAGTATTATTGAAGGAATAGACTACAGGTGTTAATGTGCTAATACTGAAACGTTAAAAATAAAGATCTGCCAAGAGAGAAGATATTTGAATGGAAATTTATACATGGCATGAAATGCATCAAACTGTGAACCGTGAATCAAAGTAAATCAATTATTATTTTCCACAGATTTGCCGACTTTGTCAGTTACGTTAAAGGAAATAAGAGACCGAACACGTTTTAGGATGCCACATTCGTTTCACACTTTTATTGAGCATGAGAATCAAACGTAAAGATGGAACGAATGAAATAATATAGTAGAAAAGTAATGTCCCACTATATTCACTTAGTACATTACTTAGTAAAAGGCTAAAATTAATAATGGAAATTGCATCGGCTCAGTGGGCAGGAATTACATCAGCTCAGTGGGCAGGAATTACATCAGCTCAGTGGGCAGGAATTACATCAGCTCAGTGGGCAGGAATTACATCAGCTCAGTGGGCAGGAATCACGCTAGCTCAGTGGGCAGGAATTACATCAGCTCAGTGGGCAGGAATCACGTCAGCTCAGCGGGCAGGAATTACAGCGGATCAGTGGGCAAGAAATAAGTCAGCCCAGTTCCAAACCCATTATTTTTTATTGACAACAGATTTCGTCTAACGCTTATAATTACCTAATGGTTAATGGCCGACAACTTCACTAGGGTTTGCTTAAGATGACATGAGGGTGCCAACTTTCTCGTCCTAAAATATGTATTTTAAGAATATGACATCTCAACTCCGTCGGATACGGATAATTTTATAAGAAATTCGTCCACTCTACAGTCAATTGTTTTTTATCGGTGATATTCTGCGATGCGGTTAAATTTCGGGTCAAGCGTGTGGGTTGGGTACATGTCGGGCAATTGCCCGGAGATATTCTAGGTTCACTGCTGTACCTGTAAAAGTTTGGAGACCGGCCGAAAGACCGGCAAGAAGAGTGTCCGAGAGATGCAGAGAAGTGTGGTGAATCTCTTGAGGTTAATGGAAACTGGTAAATTATTAATGGGCAGCCTATGGAAATTTTCAAGTGTACATTGAATGAATCTCATACTGGCAAGTCAAGTGGGCGTTTTGTGTTATAAGAAGAAATGTACCACTTTGTAAGCCTATTGAGTCTAAAACAATTCAGACATAGATAGGTTGAATCAGTATGGTTCGCGGGAACGCTGCATGGCTCTGATGGTACATAAGTTGCACGAGTGAAGTGTTTTGAATATTAATCAAAGCATAACATAGCATAGCAAAGTCGGCGTTGAAGAATTGATCCATAGTGCAATTCCACGTTGGCTTGTTGTCGGTTCTTATAAAGCTCATTAGATCTCTCTTGAAGATCCGAAGACTGTCTTTGTGACTACCAAAACTGATGTTGAGGCTAAGCAGCTGCTGAATATCCACTGATTTGTGAGGTGGGAGGTACTTTTAGACGAAGTATTTACGTCTGCATAGCTACATCTAGTCTTTTCTCGAACGTATTTATGTTCTCTTCTTAGAGTCTGTTGTAAACCTTGAATTTACTCTCATTCTTCGATGTGGTTGCCTCACAAACGTGGCAGACAATATCTGATCACAAATCCGTTGTAACGATGATAATTTCATTTAGAATTTCACATATAAATTCATGTAAACGTGTTTGCAAACAACGCAGTTCATCAGGGTAGTTTTTGAACGTTAGGGGTAAATATAATCGCTTCTGCTGCCGTCCGCACCATGAGGAGTGACGGCAAATGCCTCTATTTAGTTCTGTTGAGAGTCGTGTTGTGTGAGGTGGTGCAGAGATCCTGGATGCATTTTAGAAAATGAGCTTCAGTCAAGATACACTTATACACCTATTTGCAGGAGGGTAAGTCGTTGAATATGATTGAAAACTATTTCTTGGTCGATTCACTGCCATGAATGTGATATACGTTGATGCTCTTGCGTGATCAGGGACCGGAGCGGAGGCGGATTATTAAAACGCACATTCAAGTTCACGTAGCGACTTCGTGTTGCCTACTTTTTGCCAAAAAGAAGTACCCTAAACCGGTGGTACTATCAAAACATTATTGCGCATAGCTACTTCTGATAAGCTGTACTTAACTTTACGAGTTTACGCTAGCTCGGAACGCACAGTTTTGACTTTTGAGTGGGCACTGGGCCTTGCACAGCGCCACAGCCTACTCTGGTCTATAGAGTGGGTGAAATGATTAGAAATGCTAATTATTCATTATTGGTGTGGATCGATTTCCTAAGATGGTAGCTATATTGTGAAAGATTTTTATCATACTCTAACAATTAATATGTAGGCCTAGTCATGCAATTTGATGCAAATGCAGTGATGGAAATACTAATCAAGGCTAGCCTACTAACTTAGTGAAATAATTTCTATTGTTTTTATGCCAGTGCCAGGCAGACTGCTTTGCTGTGAAAGCCTAATGAGTAACAGTCATTTGAAGGATGAGTTTGCAGCTCTCATTTGTTTGAGAAATCCTTGAAGACAAAATTCAACGTCTAAGTTTTCAAATGAAAATTCATTGAACTGTAATGTCTTTGCTGACTGAATTCTGAGAAATAAACAATCATCAAAGTAGTTGCAACATTGAAGTTTCCCTTACCTGCTTCATTACCCTTTGCAATTGAGTACAAACAAAAACAGCGCATGCCATGATACGTTAAGGTTAAGATTTGATGATTATTTTTTGTCAAGTTCAGGCAAGAAAAATTGAGCATTTTTCCAAAATTTGTAGTTAAAGATGATTGTTTTAGTCAGTTTTAAAAATTGCAGGTAAAAAGGTAAAAATGTGCCGTTTTCTTATTTTTTTTTTAAATTAGACAAAATTCATGAAATGGGTGGAAATGACTACAGGCACAGACATTTTTGTTTCAATCACATGTGGGTTTTGTCTGGTTTTCCTGAATGGCTGCCAAGGCATTAGTGGCTCTTATATAGGTCTTGTTACTTGTTAGAAACTTTATAATTGTAGGCATATGTGCAAACAAAATTTTTTTAATAATTGATAAATCTATACAAATTTTAAGGCAATACGTGTAGCAAATTGCCATTTAGTAGGTACATATAGTTACTATAGTCTACAGTATAAATGAAATATGTTAATATGAAGAATAAAAATGACTAGAATATTTTATTTTCTGAAAAGTTGGTGCAGAAAGTGGAGCAAAAGTTGGTTATTCATGCAGGCATAGAATATATCTCCCTCTTGTTCTATTCAAAAGTTTAGAAGCTATTTTTATGTTAGACTTTTTGTGGTAATAGAAAATATGGAAAGGTATCCATACAATACTGTAATTTATATTTATCTATATACCATATACAATGTACCGTAAAATGGGGTAACTTAGACCACTTTTTTTTTTATAAATGATGCCATTTTTTTACTAGCTAAATTAAACTTGAATTGAAACATGCAAAATATATGTCTATACTCTAGCTTCACTCACCATAAATTGCTGGCTTCTGCCTCTCATAGTCTTTATGTAATTTCAAAAAAAGTGATGGTCTTTGTTACCCCAGCTCTTGGGGTAACTTAGACCAGGTGGTAAAATCAATTATATTTTTTGGTAAAATAACACCAAATAACTCCAGGTTTTGGTGCATTGTAGTAGAACTCTTCTAGTTATAATGCCCATTGACAAAATTTTTCTATGTCAAATAGTTTTTGAGCTGTGGGGGTTTTTGTTAAAAAAACGAAAAGTGGTCTAAGTTACCCCGCGGGCCCGCCGGTCTATGTTACCCCATTTTACGGTACCATACTTTACAAAATGAAGAAAGTATTTTCATTTGATAATTAAAATACTGTTCATTTAAATTTGCAAAAGCCAGTCCACCACATGGAATGAGAGTATATATTATTAAAATTAATGAAATATTCTATTCATATATCTAATATCTGAAATTTTTTAGAAATTCTTGGTATTTCCATACCTTTCAGTAAAGTATGAAATACTAAGATTCAGCTTGCTTATGAAGGTAGTAGTTGTTGTTGTTGTAGCAACATCAACCACCAGTCCGTTCCTAGGCCGATGAAGCGCGCCACATCAATTGGCTGCATCCAAAGATCAAGTGTTGAAAGTTGTGTCGGCTTGGCCGGGCAGTTGAATATGAAGGTAGTACTACATTGTGGCTCTTCTGGCTACATTTCTTGCTACTAGATTGATTTCCTTTGGCAGCAGGTTTACCGTAAACTGGGGTAATTTAGAGTCCCGGGGTGACTTAGACCACTTTTCGTTTTTTTAACAAAAACTCCCAAAACTCAAAAACTATTTGACATAGAAAAATTCTGTCGATGGGCATTAAAGGCCTAATACTGAGGCTACGTAACACAATAGAAAGATTTAAAAAGTTTGCATATCTAATAGGTTAAAAAATTAAAAATGTGACCCACGAAAAAAAAACTATTATTTAAAGCCTGTCGGAGTACCCCCTCCATTTTTTTATTTTTTGGCAAAATAACTCCAGGTTTTGATGCATTGTACTACAACTCTTCTAGTTACATATGCAACAAACAAATTTTAGGAAAGTCTCATAGTTTGCAAATGGGGCGCGCCGCCCCCCAATGGGGGAACTTAGACCACCTAATGTCAGCCCTGATGGGGTAACATAGACCGGCTTGGAAATTAATGTAAAATTACCATATATAACATTTCATGTTTGATACACCTATTGATGTTTTTTCTTTAGGTTTCAGACTCTACAGAGTCTTATATATGGTAAGTTTAACTTAATTTCCAAGTCGGTCTATGTTAACCCTGTCAGGGCTGTCTAATGGTGGTCAGAGTTCCCCCGTTTGGGGGAACTTAGACCACCTGGGGGGTATCATCATTGGAAAATCTATCATCATTGGAAAATCAATCATCATTGGAAAATCTATCATCATTGGTTGTCCTATTTCTATATCAAGGATTGATTGTATATAATGTGGACATTTCTTCTTCTTCAAGACCACAATCAAAGTCTTGCATTGTAGAAACTTGTATATATGCCTTCTCACCATCATGTTTTTTTACATGGCTTGTGCTTTTTTTTTTTTTTTTAAGTAATAAGCTCGCTACTATGAAACCTCTGGAATCAATGGTTTTCATTTGGAGTAAATTCAAATCAGATTGATGTTGAAATGGAATGTGAAAAACCATCTTTGAAAACCTGTTGACAAATCTGTAAAATTAGAATTACTACAACCACTGAGTTTTGAAAAAAAAACATGCCTTGACTTCCAAAAAAGTGCTATCTCTTAAAATTTAATGACATTTTGTGAGGGACATTGAACATTTTCATCATAACTATGATCTATCTGTAGCATGGATATCAATAAATCTGTCTCTATTTTCTCTTAGCAGTGTATGTTTTAGTGAATTTATTTTGAGTTGGGAATTACCATTTGCCATCTTTTTGCTCTCTCAAATTCTCAGTTAGCTGCTCCAATGGACTAATTTTTCAATGAAGAAAAAATTACACAAAATGCCATTTGGCAAGATGGAATTTGTTTCACTTCTCAACCCTTTAGGTCATTTATGTTCATTTTAATGAACTCGATTACCATGCAAAATTCAAAGATTAATTGAGTTTATTTCCATGTTTTGTGCGTGACATGCTATGTGAATTGTAAAATTTAAAGAGTCATAACATATATAAATTGCAAGCTATAATTGTAGTTTATTTTGTTCAATCAGACACCTGAAAGTGTTATCAATTTTGACAATAAATATTGTGATTAAAATGTCACAGTTCCTGGTATCTTACGTGTCACAGAGAGAGTTGTCACCGTTAGTGCCGGTCACCATTGTTAATTTAATAATTTAATCAATTTAATTATTATTATTTAGTATTTACTTTAATAGTCTTTACTATCTATCTGCTGTAGATAGTTGAAACTAGTTTGCTATCAGTGCCTGTCACGATTGTTAGTGAGTGTTATCCAAGACGATATAACTTTATACGTCACACAGATGTGGTGGAATGATGGGTGCAAAGCCAATTAAATGGTGTAGATAGTCATGTGAAGACTGATTTGCAATCAGTGCCTGCCATGATTGCTTTAAGTCTTATCCAAGACGCTGTAACTTTTCAAGTCACACAGATGTGGCGGGACTATGGATGAGATAGCCAATTAAATGGTGTAGATAGTCAAGTCAAGACTAGTTTGCTATCAGGGCCTGTCACGATTGCTAGTAAGTGTTATCCAAGACGCTATAACTTTATAGATACTTCACACAGATGTGACGCTATCACTTTTTACTTCACACAGATGTTATCCAAGACGCTATAACTCTTTACGTCACACAGATGTGGCGGGACGATGGGTGCAATAGCCACATGCCCACTGGAGGTAGTCAAGACTCGCCTGCAGTCGTCAACGTTCAGTGTAATGTTGGCAAACTTGCCACCCGCAGCTGCGACGCGACACAGCAAAGCCACCACTTGCCACACACTTCCCCCTAGACGGCGTCTCTGCACCTCCAGCGTGCCGACGACTGCCAGCCAAATGATGCATCTCTCGCAGCCACCCGACCCGAGACCGGGCATGCCACGATCTCTGTCACTCATCAACTGCTTACGGTAAGTTACAGTGCTGTCTCCTCCTGCCATATACCTTAGTTGAATTTCTTTGTTGCCTTCACATGTATCGTCTGATATGTGTATTATTTCGTTAACGATGCAATGAATGCCAATTGTTATGTACGGTAAGTCTGGGGTTTCGCTTTTATTGAACTGTAATTCTACTCGCATTGTATCTCATGAGTGTTTCGTATTGTGTTGTGAGGCAGGCTTTTTGACCTAGAGTATTGATCTGCTGACATTAAATAGGTGTGCTCTGCTGACATTAAATAGCTGTGCTTGTGCTCGTAAATTTAATTCTTTATTTAGCATCAATAAATCTGAAACCTTATTTCAATTGTTTTGTACCTAAAATTTCAGCAATAATAGCTATTTGTATGGTATAGAACAATAACAAATATGAGAAATTTGGAGACAAAACCCAAGCGTTGCGATTGACTAGGCCTAACTTTTTCGTGTATAGGCACAAACTTTTCGTATAGGTATTTATGTACTGGGTACGTAGGTATAATGATGGCCAAATTTTCAACTTATGTTCATACAGATTGGCACAACTAGCATTGTTGGTAGGCATGTCCCCATTTCTTCGAATGGATTTATGAGTTTGATTGAGGATTGTTCTTAATCGACAGAGATGAAGTGAGATAAAGAGACGTGTTCTAGTACGAGAACTTCCATGGAACTTTTACTATATTCCTCATCGAGTCTGTTAATTCATTAACGTGGTACTAGGTTGTATTTAATAAAAATAATTGACATATCATTCAAGCTCTCTGGAGTGAATTTGGTGACGTAACTTGATAGGATTAGGAGGCTAGCGTAGGAAACTGTAACTGACGTAGAAATTATTTTTTTTATATCCGGTAAGCGTCAATCGGGATATGGTATTCGCAACCGTATTATGACTACAAAGCACCTTCACTTGCAAACAATATTTCCAAGGCCTTTATGCAAGGTAATGTTGCACCTGTATTATTTATTCATTTGTTATCCGTTGTATTTACACTATTGCATTCATAGGATTATTCACTATTTATTTCTTCCGACCTATTAGCAATGAGAAATGTTGACTTTTAAATCGTAGCACTCGGGGTTATCAGAGCGTTATTATGTAGAATTACTGAAGAGGATAACCAAGATTGATGAATTTCTCGATAGTTTATGGTTCATTAATTAATTAGTTTACATGAAGCGGCGTGGCTAAATATCGCGGTAGATATGATAAAGGACATTAAATTGTTTTTTTATTTAACCACTGTTGAAATCATGAAAACAATACATGTTGACCCCTAACAAAATTTCAAAATGTCGCCCCAGCTTCTGGTAATCGGAACCAGAAGCTGACGCGTCCGTAAATTTTCACTGGGATGTAGTAGTATCACACTGTTGTCCTGTGGTCGTTGTTATCCTGTGTTTGTTCTCTGATTGTGGCAGAACTTCGATTGCATTTGCCAGACGCTTGCGTCCATCGGTAAGTCTGCTGTCGTCGAGTCCTTGTTTTCGTTCGTCCTTGTTGTCTTGGTCTTGTTTTGTCCCACTGCTGTCTATGGGTGAGTTACTAACTTTTCACTTGGCATCTAACGTCGAATCAACGTCGATTTAAGCGTTTAATTTTCGAGTTTACGTCAATTTAACGATGTTTTAACGTCAAGGCTTACACCACATAAATGATGATCCCTACACAGGCCAACTGCTCTCCACGATGTGAATTTGTATGCATATTGACTTAATTTTTTTTAATTTCAACCTGGACAGTTGCCCAAGTTTTGTTTTAAGTTTGTTCATGAAAAAGTTTTACCTTCTCTGTGCAGCATTGAATAATGTAAGTTGAATGTTTCCTATTAACCGTCTGCTAAAAGGGTATTTTGAAATGGTTGTGTCAATTTACTTATTTCCTCTGTAATGAGTTTTTTTATTTTCAACAAACTCTAAACTTTGAATAATGGTGAATTACTTCGGTTCTTCCTTTCGTGTACTCTTGTGGAATTAATATTAATAATATTAAAATTTAATAGTCAGTTCGTTTTTGCGTCTTTGATGGTGAGTGAGCCATTTAATGTGTTATTTATTTTCAATATTTCCCTTTCAGGCGATTTCAATATTTTCCTTCAATAGACATTTAATATATTATTTACTTTAAATATTTTCCTTTCAGGCGTTCTTTGGGTTTCCCAAAGAACGGGCTGGGGAGCGGAGTGAAGTTTCGATATTGATTCTTATCACCACTCTAGAATGTCACCATTTTAGGTCCGACGAATTATTTACGGTGCTTCCTATTCTTGTTCTTCCTTTTCTCGTGGAAGTTTCTTGCTCAATTTCTTTATAAAAGGTTTAGGTTGACGTTATTTAGCAGTTATATGGTATCTTTGAAGAACGATCGTAAACACTTGCCATCTTGACATTGCTCTTAACATAACGGGTTGTCGGTTGTTCAGAAATAAATTTTATTCAAATGTGTATATACTGTGGCCTTGCACTGCTATTGTCGGTATTGTTGGCCGTTAAATAGCAAGAGCAAAAAATATCGATCGTAAGAATTTCTAGAGCTCAATTTCTAGACTCATTGCGCTTATTAGTTTCTGACAAATAAGAATCGATTTCTGATAGCAGTATGCAATGCAATTTATTTCTGAATCGCCTCGTGACGAACATATTTCAAATGTGTTTATACTTCAGGAACTTTACCGTTATTATTTAACTAATTCAATTTATACAATTTGCAGTTCATTTTATCACTAATGATGCCTTTGTATCAGATTGAAATAGATTTTACTTCAATTAATTTATTAATATAACGTCTCTGTGAACGATCTCTAGGGTGTCAATATGTCTCTTGCAGCTATCTTTTCCAGATGAGCCCACGGGCGACTTTTAAGCGTTTTTTTCCTCATGCTTCTAAAATATTATGTTCATAAAAAATTTGAAAGCCATACGTGAATTTACAAGTTTCATCAAAAAAGTTTTAGAGGTCACGTAAATCACCAGTTTCAATTAAGCGTTTTTTTTCCTCATTGCTTCTAAAATATTATGTTACTAAATAATTTGAAAGCCATAAGTGAATTTACAAGTTTCATCGAAAAAGTTTTAGAGGCCACGTAAATCACCAGTTTCAATTTTCAAGAAAAGACGTGAAATCAGTAGACCGAAGAAGTTAAACTTGAATACCTTGATGAGTGAAGTGAACGATTAATAATTTCTTGCGGATAAGAACTAATCGCGTTTTCAAGACTGGTTTTTGTCTAAAAATGTGCAGAGATCCTTAAATCTGATGGAGTACTTGAGCTGAAAATTTATCCATTTTATTTATTTATTTTATCGAAGATTTATTTAATAAATAAATAGATTTATTTATTTAACAAATATAAAAATTTATCTCGAACTCCGACGTTTGTTTCTCGTCTTGTCTTATGATGAATTTGCTTCTTTTTATATTGATTAAACATTTATTTTGTTTGAACTCGTGATGAAGCTGGTCTCTGAAACGTTATCAATGAAGTTATGGTGAATCTACTTCATCATTTTCTTTGCTTTTGAATACTTGATAGATTAGGCGTTCAAGGAAACATAGAATATGTAAATACTTTCATCAATAATGAATTTACAATAAATTTTCTCTTGTAGTTGTTCTACACAGTTTTTTACGTACGTATATCATCATGAAAATCAAGTGATCTTTTACGATCCCTGTTGTGTAACCTATCTAAATAATCAAATTTCAATTTTTGAAGATCTATTTTCAATGAGTTAAGGATATATATTCATGTGATCCCCATCTCAAATTTCTTTAATTATTGTTGCTATGAAACAGTACTTTTGCCCCAAAACAGCATTAGACAAATTTTTATCTTACAGACTACCCCCATATTAAATTTTGTTGACAAGTTATTCATAATTTGATGGTTATTCGTACATTTATTACCGTGTGCTTCATTTACATGGTGAATGAACTGAGCTTTGCAATAATATCTGGCTGAATGAGACATGTATTTAACCCCCTGTAATGAATGAGCTGAATGTTTGTTTTATCTTGCGTGTCAACTCGGGAGCTAAAAACTGAATTGCTTATTTACATGCATTCACAATTGGGAGTGACTGCGTTCAAAAATTGTCCGAGCTCTCATACCTAACACAATTACGTAGGGATTGAAAAATTCAATCAGCTTACAAGTATTTATATTCATTTAAATGACCTTGTTATTCGGATTGCATATTTTATTTATTTGTGTGAGACAGGCGTTGTGCTCTCACGTACTCTATTTTTGTCATTAAAGTACTTTCTTCTAATCTAATAATTGAGTTTCGCCGTACTTATATGAGGGCAATTTCTTCTATCATAGCGTTCTGTTTTAATCAAATTTTATGCTTGTTCAATTTGAAGTCTCAAAATGTTCTTCTTCTTGTCTCGTCTCTTAATTACAAATAAATGATGACGAGTGATTCTTCATACGATTAATTTGTAAATTGAATATTTTGTGTTAAATTGGCTCTGAAAACAATGATTGGATAAATTTTGAACGTTTCTTCTCTTTCGCACTCTGTTCATTAAATTGAAGGATCTCTAAATTCTAAGCTCACAAAATGAATGTAGCAATTTTGCTATAATTATCTCTCGTGCATTAAATTACATTTTTTTTCTCCCGAGATGAAAACGGAGTTTGCGGGTGTGTATGGTTTCAGTTTACTTTCGTTGAAATGTGCTAGTTTATGTACCTTGAATTGCACAATCTCCCTTGACCAGAAACGCGCACCTGAAGCCTGTAAATACTCGAATCTCCCTGAGATAAATAAATGTGTAATTTTGTTCTAATACCGACAATTTCTGCAGATACCACGCCCTTGCCCTGGGTAATTATGACCCACTCAAGGGCACAAAGTGCATCAGTTTTTGGACAAAGTCTCATTTATTATTTGAACGTGATTGACTGACGCAAGTTGACTGTTATGGGCGATATGATATAACCAGTTAAAATCACGATTTAAAACAGATTTCCTTTTAAATCACCGGGCCTTCAGGTACATCGTGGAAGTGGAGGGCTCTCGCGCACTATGGCGAGGCCTGGGACCTAATTTGGTGGGTGTAGCTCCATCTCGAGCCATCTACTTCTGCTCCTACTCACAGATGAAGAAATTCCTCAACAATAATCTCCATAATTCCAAGGATGGTCCAATTGTACACATCTTGTCCGCTTCTTGGGCAGGTAGGTTTGTGTTGCTGTCGTCGCGTGTCTTTGGATTACAACTTGGTCTTAACTTTCCTGTAGTGTGTGGTTTGGCTTTGTTTCTGTTTCATTTCTGTGTGGTATTCGGAGGTCGTTTCATTCAAATTGTGTTTTTTTTTTCGGTCGTTTTGCTGTTTTGTTGGTTTGTCGTTATTCTCGTGTTCGTGGTTTGTTCTATTTCATACGCTCAATTGCTCTCGCGAGGAACAGGTAATGTTGCACTACTTACAAAAGTATCGTCATCCTGGTGCAGAATAAGTGGACTATATCGGGAAGAACCAGTCATCCTGATGCAATTATAGGTGATGAAGAAGTAAACCATATCGGAATAAAAGATTTATTTTACATGTTGTATAGTAAATTTTTTTTATATTATGAAGTCACATTGTAAAGAGTATACATGAGAGAAGAGTTGTACATTGAAAACGCCAACCATAATGAGTTTTATCGGGTCAAATCTCGCATTTGAACGTGTAATCATAGTTAGCGATGAATTATTCCTTGCTGATGACGTCACAGAAAATATGGCTATAACTATATCAATCAAACTATAACTATAGCCAATCAAAAGATTTGTAGTTCTTCCCAGTCGCGCAATTGTTGTAGTTCTAAACACGCCCCTCAGAATTGGATGCATCTGGGGTTGGACAAAATAAGGGAAACACCTGACATTTTGATATCGTAATTTTTAAACATGTTATAAACAATGAAAACATAACATATTTGTATGTTCTATTGTTTATTGTTGTTGCTAATTGATATTTTATCATTTCACTGATATTTTAGCAAATTTGTGTGTATATAACCAAACCCATAACCTATAAGTGGCAATTAAACCTCTCTGAATTTCAAGGAGGTCAAAATGTTGGTCCCTTATGGCAGGTGGAGTGTGACAGAAATCTCCCGAATGCTTGATGTTTCTAGAGGTACTGTCTTAAAAGTAATGGCTGCTTATGATAGATAAGGAAAAACGTCCTCAGCAAAGCACAGATCTGGCCGAAGTTGTTTGAGAGAGACCGTCGGTACCTAAATCGAATTGTGCGGGACAATCGAAAGACCACGGCTGTTAGAATTACTGCAGGCCTCAATGAGCACATACAGAACCCAGTTTCCATAAAGGCTGCCCGCCGAGAGCTGCACAGATCTGGATTATATGGAAGTGCTGTAATTAGAAAATCTCTGATTTCAAATACGAATGCTTCACAGCGTTTAGAGTGGTGTAAAAGACTCCAGAATTGGTCCCTCGAGCCGTGGAAAAATGTAATTTTCTCCGAAGAATCGTCGTTTACCTTATTTCCAACCTCTCACCGAATTTACGTTTGGAGGCAGCCAAAAGTCATTTAATCCCGACTGCCTCCTCACAACCGTAAATCATGGAGGGAGATCTGTGATGATCTGGGGTGCTATTTCTTGTAAATACGGCTGGCCAATGATTTCTTTTCATGGAGGAATCAACAGCAGTGACTATTTGGGAATTTTGGAGGACCAAGTTCATCCATTGGTTCAAAGCACTGTTTCCGGAGAAGAACGCCATCTTTCAAGATGATAATGCCCCGATCCATACAGCTAAATTGTTAGAAAATCGCACGAGAACCATTCTAATGATGTTCAGCATCTCATTTGGCTACCACAATCACCAGACCTCAATCTTATCGAGAATTTATGGTCGACTTGAAAGATGCAAGTCAGAAGTCGATTCCCGCCGCCATAGTCTGTTGAAGAGCTGGTTGGAGTTTCAACCGAAGAATGGGTTAAAATTCCTTCGAAAACAATTCACAATTTGTATGAATCAATACCTCGGAGAATTGAGGCTGTAATTGCCGCAGAAGGCGGACCCACACTATACTAAAATATGTATATTTTTATTTCTTAGGTGTTTCCCTTATTTTGTCTAACCCCTGTACGTTGAAATATCAGTCGTTTCATCTGCAATTTTTTTACTCTTCATTTCTGCGGCATAGATCGCCAGGAACGATAATGGAAAATGTGAGAATACTTCACGATGATGCTAATTATTAGATAATACAACTAAGTCGATTAATTACTGTTAAAACCCAGAACTGTCCTTATGCGATAAGCCCTTCCACTGGTATATAAGTTAATACATTGCCTGTCAGCGCTCGTTCTTATCGCCGATGAGAGCGTAAATGAGTGCACTCATTAATTAATGATCACAGCATTCATTAATTAATGAGTGCTGATAGTGCTGCGCGTAATGCTAAGCATCGGAAGCGATATTAACTTATTTTTTTCCAATACCTGTCAAAGAAGCGAGAATTTCGGTACAAGTTTGTAGCTTGAGTAATTAATCTGATCAGCCATTTATAATCAGGTCTCTTATGGCTTTAAGACGATGTTATGATCATGTATGTGGCCAGGATTGCGTTGCTCCATTCATGTTTTTTAAGCTTCAGGAAAACTGTTAATTAGATAATTAAACAGTCCCTCATAGACTGTAAAGTTTGATTTATATATTTATTCTTGCGATGATTTATATTTATTCTTGCTATTTTAGTACAAGTCAATAATTGGACGTAGTAATAATTCTTCTATTATGTCTAATTTGAAGAGGCTTTCCGATAATTAGGTGCGACGGGATCGTTAAAATTAACAGTTAAGCTATTAGGGATCATTCGTGGTTCGAATAACGATGCGATATGTTGCTTACAATTTCTAGAGCTTACAGTTCACAGATCCTGAAGGTTAAGTATAAAAATTTATTTTCCAAACAATTGTCCTAAAAATTGTCAAGTCTTTCGAGTGTTTCACTACATACAGTACACAACAGTGCCCCTGGAAACTAATGCTAAATAATTGAAAAATTGTATTATGCTTGGTAATAGAGGAACTTTGCTTTCAATAAACAACAGTGGTTCTTTCAGTACAGTGGAGTGTTGTTTCGGAACCTTTCCGGGTAGTTGAAAAAATTTTCAGTCGATGTAGAAAAAGAGAGAGATTTCAAACCAAATCATTCAAGTAGAACCTGAAGCGCAATAAAAACCGGCGATCTCGTTATAAAATTTGGTGAGATCATCTATATTTTGGATCACGTCGTGTCTTAACGACCTGCTTAACTTTCATGTCTTGTACTACCAAAGTATCCATGAGCAAATTTTCGTTCACTCAATAAAAGATTTCTGCTGAAGATTTACCGGCAGTTTAATTAAACAGAACGTGTTCATCTTCATACTGCGGATGTTTTTTTTTTGTTTAAATTGGGCCGGATGTCTTCTTTTTTACTTGTTCTGCGACACTCGCCGGCCAATCTCGGCTATAGCGCTCCTGATGGCCGCCCAGAAACTGGATCTAACCTGATGCAGCGGCTGACTCTTCTGTTGTGGCTTGATTTTGCTGCTATGCCGAGGCTGTTCATCTTGCACCATATCTTGCTATTTGGATTAATTCCTCGTGAATTCTGTCATTTGTATGCTTAAACTCGCAGTCTAAATCATTAAATTCCTGACTATAATAACGTTGTACGAAACATTTATATCCGGTTCAAGGCTTGATGTTACAAAATGAAAAATAAGTAATTTTTTCCGCACACAAAAAAAAAATTGTTTGCATAATTATTGAAAAAAAAAACTGTCGATTTTTGAACTTTGATTGGCAATCTGGCAGTAAAGTTGAATTACATATTTTTTCATTGCACATATTTTTAATCGTACTTTTTTCGCACATTTATTTCATCACATCTATTTTTCATCGCTCATTTTTTACATCGCACATGTTTTACACAACACATTATTTTTTATAGCACATTTTTGTAGACTAAGTGTTGCGTGGTGCATGCGTGACAGCTCTTCGTGTTTGTTTGTCTCGCCAACTGCGCAGCAGCAATCTTTTTTTCGCCGGCGCCACGACGAACCTTGCATTATCTTTGCTCGTATCTGTTTTTTTTACCGTTTATTCTGGACGTTTCATGATCCCTGCATTAGAAAACGTTACTCTCCATGAAAATACCCACGCTTGAATTTTTTCACGTTAATTTTGACCTGAACAATGACGGAAAAAGGATAAAAATAGCTCGTTCCTATTACCAAAGTTACAAGATTGAAAGGAATTAGAATGCAAGCTGGGAGTCTTAAGGCTACGATAAGGTTGATAATAGCTCCATAAGGACCGCTACTTGCACTTCTGAAACCAGCCACTTGCCAAGTAACACAACTGCGTAGTTAGTAAGGCGGGACTCTCTCTCACTTGTGCATGTTGCCGCCGTTCTCTTCGACCCCTTCACACCATCCACCGCTTCTCTTCGACCCCTTCACACCATCCACCCCTTCTCTTCGACCCCTTCACACCATCCACCCCTTCTCTTCGACCCCTTCACACCATCCACCCCTTCTCACTGTCTGCTGCACATCCCCCCTCCCTCCCGCCACTCGATGCCAACAACATTCCCCACGCACTTGGTTGGCGTAAAATGGAGCGATCGCCAACTTGTAAACTTGGTAATCAAATGTTGATCCAGCTTTTAATTTTAGCGTGATAATTCTTTTGAATGTGAAAGAAATGACGTTTATTCGAGATTCGTTGCGCTTACATCGTATTTCACGGCCATTATACCTGCCTTATGGAACGATCACTAGGAATGCGTTGGTGTCTGGGTTCCGATTCCGATATTGTTATACGCCATACGGTAAAGTAAATTATTCTACATAACTGAGCGAGCGCATTGACAGAGTCGTCGTCATGCCGAATGCGTCAGTTTTATTTGTAAATTATTTTTAGTATTTTTTATTGCTGAGGATGATTAATTTGAAATTTTGAATAATTGAGACCTTCCGCCTCGCTGGCGATGTTACATTTTGACCTCCGGTGCTATATAGCTTGATAGCTGAAGCGCTAGTAAACCATTCTACTACTACTGCCGAATCTCCTTCAGCTTTTATTTATTATTGTTTAGTGGGTTCGCTCTCGGAATTGGGGATTTGCCCTCCGCTCACTTTTCACTTACCTAAACTCAACGTCCCAGGTGA